CCGAGTTGTGCTGTTGAATTTGTGACTTTCTACAGTAGTAGCCATTCAAAATGTCGCCACTTTCCTTCATGGGTCCTTGGGTGGTGATTGTAGGGGACCAGCCAAGGGCCCATGAAGGAAAGTGGGGACATTTTGAATGACTACTGTAGAATTGAGGAGTCAAACAGCAGCATTGCATGGAGAGAGAGAAGCTGTAAGATCGCTCTGAACTTTTCTATGAAATTAAAACATGGCAGCCAATCAGGGACTGGTTGGAGGCTCAAGTTTTTTTCACCTAAGAGAATTGGATCGGGCCCAAAGTTGGCACATGCGTCGGGACCAATGGTGCGATGCGTGCTTGTACATAACTTTCTCATTAGTCCGAAGGTTTGTGAATTATTAGCAAAAATGTCGCAAAAAAAACCCATAGGAAATGAATGGGGAGAGGTAAAAAAAAGTATAAAAAACAGCGCTTCACTGTGTCGGCATACATTCACGTAGAAAAACAGTTTAAAGCTCAGTTTGTAGATAAATCCTTTGTCTATATAAAACTGAAGACGGTATGTTGATAACTGCTATGGTTTTTGTATAATGAGACCTCAAGCGCCACAAAGTTTTAGCAAAATCCAGCCTTCTAGAGTGGAGCAGCTGAAATGCTAGAGTGTGAGGCAGCCATTTTTTTAAGACCAAAAAACATTTTAAACTCGCCCTCACGGCGACATATTTATAGCTAGAGTCACCATTTTTGGTCAGTTTGTAGACTGAAATCTCTGGACCCACACAATGTCTTCGGAATTATGGTAGGACTAATACTTTTCCTTAAAAACCCTCCAGACCGACCTAAAGTCGGTGAGAGTTTCAGCCTTTTTCCATTGATTTTTTAGCAGCAGAGGGGAGAAAAACGAATGAGACTATGTGTTTTCAACTCGTCATAAATATTGTTCTGAATGACACACATACACCAAAGTTGGCATAGTTGGAGTCGAAGGATGGCTGATGCTCACTGTGAAATTTTTTTTTTTAATAACTCATACGTTCTCCTCGCCACCCAGAGAAAATAATATTAAAAAAAGGTTTAAATAAGGAATGCTCTGCAGAGGAATTCAGGTGGATTTAAGAAAAGCAGTCTTACTTTAGTCCTGGAATGACTGTTCATCATCCTCCCTTACCTCCAGCACAGAGCCCGGTCTGTCACTGCCCCCTGCCCAGCATCAGGGCTTTCTGAGGGGGGGGGAATTTACAAAGAAGTCTCATTGAATCAGAGCTGCGTCTGGATGAACCGTTTGGATCTATTTTTCACAGGTTTTGGGGCTTTTCCACAAAATGATGGTCTCCCCAAGGTGATTATATGCATTACTCTGTGATGTTAAGTGTCACCTGAGCTTTTATTGTGAAATACAGACAGACAACGATACCTAGACAGGAAATGCTATGGGGTTGCCAGGGGCAACAGCAGGTCCAAAGAAGAGGGTCCAGGATGCCTGTGATTAACTAAACATTAAACAATAATTCCAGCCACTAAATAAGGTAAAAATGTTCACTGTTCTATTCAGGAATGACATCCCATGTTATGCAATAACTTTATATTAGGAAATGAGCGCGGTGCTGATGTCTGCTTGGATGGTGACGTCATTGGCCGTAATTACAAATAATTGTATCTGAAAAACCGAATCAACAGAAACGATAGTTTTACCTGCAGAAATCAAGCAGCTTTTAAAAAGTAGGCTGGATAATTTGGATTCAAGCCTGAACTTAATGGGGGGGATAGTTGACCTCTGGGTGACCGAAATAATAACCTTTAACGTCTCTGAAGCAACATATGATTTAATTTATTATTTTTTATTCATTTATTTATTTTTTCACTTTTACAAATGACCATTTAAAATGCACAAACCTGCTCTAAAGAAGCAATAACCATTCAGTATATCTGCTGCGCTTGTTCCACGTTGGTGGGGTTTCAGCTTCACGCAGCTGAAGCTCCTCCTATTTGATGATGCGGTGCAGGCGCTAAAGTATAGGTGCGTTGGATTTCAGTGCCCGGATCCTCCAAGGATCAGGTCTACCTGGACTCGATCTTTGGTAGTCCGTGAAAATAGGGAGGCAGGAAGAGGTAGGCTATGGATTCAAACAGGTTCAGCCTTCTGCGGCTTTCGGTGCCTGTACGCCCGGTCGCCTAGCGACCATGACAGTTGACACACAAAGCAGGCAAAGAATGGATGCTGAACTTCTCACTTCTGTTCTGGGTGCTGATGAAATTTCTGAGGAGCTTCAGCAATTTTTTGCATCCTGAGGATCGGCCTGTTTGCACCCAGCTGATCATCTTATTCTTCAAAAGATTATTTTCCACATTTGAGAACAGTAAAAATGCTCTTATTTGATAGACATTTCTGTTTCACAAATGTCCACTTTTATGAGGTTTTACCCATAAGCTTAATAAAAAAAGACACATTCAGGGCTTATTATAGTGAATTTTTTATTTAATAATTTCAGATTTAGCTTATTCATTTCATTATTCTGTTTATAAAGTCATCTCAAAATGTAATCCGGAAAACCGAAAATAGGTTAAGTGTACAGCAGACCACTTTAACATTTTAAGGCTAATGATTTCTTTAGATTGGGCCATGATATGTATTTCCATCTTCAGAAGGTTCAGCCTACTTCGTGTTGTGAGACGGTTTCTGTTTCAGTGAATTCCTGACTTTAATACACAGTAATCAGCTCTGGGAGCTGCAAATAAAACTAAAACCAAAAGCTGCACTGGAAAAACCATCTAGAAATAAGTAAAAATGTCTTAAATTAACTGTTTTAACCCTTAATTTGAGTAGGTAAATTATGTAGTTTGCCAGTAGAATGAATATTTTTACTCTTAAAAGTGATTTAGTCAGATAATATGTACTTGAAATAAAACAATGCAACTGTGTCTTTTAAAATGTAAATTGTCTTGTTCTATTGGCAAAATGTCTCTTTTACCTCCTCAATTCAAGAACAAATGCATTTAAGAAAAAAATGACTTATCTAGATTTCGACTTTTTCCAGTGTGAAATTTCCAGCAGGTAAGATATGATTGAAGCAGGGATAGCAGGACAGGTTTGCTTTTCTAAATCTGACTTTGAAAGAAAACCTCCGAGGAGAAGAAATTATTAAAGGAAAAGTCGCTCATATTCAGAATTCAAACTTCTGAAAGTTCTTTAAATCTGAAATGATTCC